GACAATGTCATTGGGCATTAGGGCCAGGGGGTGGCGGGGGGACGACTCTGCTCCGGGGAGACGAGGGTCAGTGGTTTGGGGGTAGAATGGAGGAATTTGCGGGGTGATGAGCTGTCCAGGGGGAGCCCAGGGTTGCTTTGGGGAGGTCCCACTTTTTTGGGGTGCCCCAGGTTGGTTTTAGGGTGCCATGTTTTGGGGTGCTGCCCCCATCGAGACACCTGCATTAGGGTTCCAGATCCCCCCCAGAGCTCTGGGAGCCCCAGGGTGGATGTGGAGCACCCCAAGATGATTTTGGGGTGCCCTAATGTCATGTTGAGGCTCCCATAATTTTGGGGGGCCCTGATGCCAGTTTGAGGGTCCCCCATGTTTTGGGGGGACCCATTTTGGGGTCCCCCCACTCTCAAGGCACCTGCACCACGTTCCCAGCTCCCCCCAAGCTCTGGGAGCCCCAGGGTGGATGTGGAGCACCCCAAGGTGATTTTGGGGCTGCCAGAGCTGTTGGGGGGGCCCTGGGGTGGGTTTTGGGGTGCCAGCATTTCAGGGGGGACCTCGTTTCGGGGTGTCACCTGCTGCTGAGGCGCTTGTGGAGGGCCACCAGCTTCTTGACGTGCTTCTTGCGCAGCTCCTTGAGCTCCCGGTACTGCTTCTTGAGGAGCTTCACGTAGGCCTTGTGCTGCCGCAGCTCCTCCACCGCCTGCGGCGCCACTTCTGCGGGGCGTTTGGGGGTTCAGGGAGGTCCCCGAAATCCCTCGGTGGGAGGACACATCTTGGGGGGACCCCAAAATCTCACATCTATGGGGGAACCCCAAAATCTCTCCTTTGGGGGGGCTTTGACCCTTCCAGAGCACCCCGTGTCTTCCCTGGGTGCCCTACGTCATGCTGGGAGGGGTCTAGGAGGGATTTGGGAGTTCAAGAGGCCCCCAAAATCATATGGGGGGGTCACCTCCCTGGGGGGGCCTCCCATGTCTCCCATGGGTGCCCCACATCACCCTCAGGAGCGTCTCCAAAACTCAGGGGACCCTCGGCAATGTTTTGGGGGCCCTTGGATATTTTGGGGGGGTCCCTTGCAGTCTGGGTGACAAATTGGGGGCCTCCCAACCCCGAGGCTATTTTGGGGGAGCCCTCTCCCTATTTTGGGGTGCAGAAGGAGGAATTTGGGGTCCCCCAGGTGAGGGGGTGGGTCACCTCTTACCTGCCAGGACGCTCGCAATGAGATCATCCCGCTGGCCTGATTTTTCATGGCGGGGGGGAAGATAAGAAAAAGAGGGAAAAGAGGAAAATGGGGTCCCCCTTTTTCCTCTAAGCCCCCCCAAAATTTTGGTGGCCCCTTCAAGGGAGCTGAGCCCCCCCCACATAAGTTTTAAAGGTGGATATTGGATAGGGGGATAACAGGACCCCCTTTTTCCTCTAAGCCCCCCCAAAATTTTGGTGGCCCCTTCAAGGGAGCTGAGCCCCCCCCACATAAGTTTTAAAGGTGGATATTGGATAGGGGGATAACAGGATTTTGTGGAGAAGGGGAAACACAGAAGTCGGGGGGAAAGGAGGAAATCAAGGTGCCCCCGGGGGGGGGTGGAAATGGGGGGCCCCCCCCAAACCCTGATACCTGGGCTGGGCCCAGCAGGGGGGCCAGCAGGGGCCAGCAGAGCAGCCGGGGGGGGCCGGGGCCCA